AGGTGCGATTCAAATTTTATATTTCCTCCAGAGTTAGTTTCATTAATTTGTCTTCCAAGGTACTTCTTAGAAGTTGTCAAATTTATTTCAAAAAAGATTTTTGTAATAGGCTTTCTATATCCTTTTAAATTCTGTAAAATCTGTGGTAATGTCTTCTAGATCTTGATATTGTAATTTTAAAAATGTATAATTCATATTGTGTAATAGGAAGAAAAGGTCTAAAGGAGTAGGGGAAGTGGGAGGGGTAGGGGAAAGGAAAGAATGGAAAAGAAAAAATATGAGAAAAAAAAATGGAAACAAAGTCTTTGCAAATAGGAAAGAATGGAAAGGGTGAAGGGAGGGCAGGGGAAGGGGAAAAAATAAGAACCAAGATACATCACGTAATGGTACAAGATCCCAATGATGAATGTAACTGTACTGTATACCTAAAACGTACCAATAAACTTAATGGGGAAAAAAAGGGGGGTTGCAGGATGGGGATTTAGCTCAGTGGTGCTGCCGCCTGCCTCGAAAGCACAAGGGCCTGAGTTTGATCCCTGGTACCAAAAAAAATTAAATAAAAAAATAAAAAAGGGGTTGGGAAATAGTTTCCTAGAAGTAGAGCTGAAGCAAGGTTTTTGCATGCAAGTGGTTGATTAAGGAACTACCCTGGCAGATATCAGTAAGACAAAGAAGAGGAAGCAAGAGGCAGAAAAGGAGCGAGGCAAGGATGTGATTCAGGATGGAGTCCTAGGGAGCTCTGGGCTAAAGTGACTCCTGGGAGTTCCTGGGGGCCCCCAGGCACTGCCCCCGCTCTCTGTGCTCACGGGCGGTCAGCTCTGGTGGCCTTCAAAGACTGCGAGGCCAGTTCCCCCTTGGAGGAGGGCGCACTGGGAGCTGTGATGACTCAGGAGGTCCAGAGTCATCAAACATCACTGCTGCCCCAGGGCCAGAGGTCCTCTGTCTTCGCCTCATTGGAGGGGAGTCAGGGCTGTGAGATGCCCTGGCTTTTCTGAAATACTTTTCTTCCAGGGGCAGTACAGGCCGGGGAGTGCCCTGCTTGGTGGCCATGGGGGAGCTTGCTGGTCAGAGGCCCTCGAGACTCGGGCGGATGAGGCCTCTCCAGTGGAACCAGGCAGATATTCCCACTTCGGGTCCCCTGTACCCACTTCTGGGCACACAGTTGCCAGAAGCAGAGCGCCGTCCATGTCTGGCAGAAACAGATTACACCCTTGAATCGGTATCTGGGACAAGATGCGGGCCCCAAGTCAGGCAGCAGGTCCAGCTGAGACCTGCAGTTAGGAGAGCCCTCCCCAGGGTCCTCTCAGCAAGCTGCCGTGGCACCAACTCTGTGCCCAGGTAAGGCTCCTTCTAACGGGCTCAGTTTGAGAACAATCAGGCAGGATTTGCAGTACAGTGTTCTAGAGCAGGTCAGGGGGTGAGGGCTGAACCTATATTTCCATAGACTTCCTGTGAGACTTGGGAAAAAACCTCTCTCCTTTCTCAGCCTCAGTTTCCCCTCCTGTTCCGCAGAGCTGAATAACTGTCCTGCATGCCCGCCTCCTCTCGGGCTCGGGCCTGTCCTACCAAGTGCAAACTCAGCACAGAGCATCCCAGGAGACTCTTTGAAGTGTCCCATGCACCATGCAGGCTTTGCTGGGAACCAGCATCTGTGAGTGCCTGTCTCATCTCCCTGAGTCCTTAGCTCCCTGTGCCTTATCTCCAGGCCCAGCTGGGAACTTGATGTATTTATTTGTTCCTCCCAGGGCCGCCTCTATCCAACCCACAAGTCTGCCGTGCTGGGAGAGAACAACCTTCTTGCAGAGGGCTGCCTGGTGGCCAGGTGGGAGGACGAGGAGGAGGCGACAGCTATAAATCCCTCCAGCCTGCAACCGAGGGGTGACCCTGTCTGGTAGAGGACGCAGCTGAGGAGGCTTGGAGAGGTGGGGACAGAGATACTAGAAGAAGTAGTTGGGGACAGAATCACCAGATCCTAAATAGACTGGAGTCAGGAGGAGAGGAGGGAACGGAGGGAAGGGAAGGGATGGGAGGAGGAGTAAAGAGGTGGGAGGAGGGGCAGGAAGGGATGAAGCCCGAAGAGCAGTCTCTCCTCCAGGGTGCTGGATGTTGAGCTACTATTTTTATTGCATGGCTGATTTGCTAAATTTAGAACTTTACATATGTTATCGCATTTAATCTTCTCCATTTGTGAGTGTTATCACTCCCAGTTTGCATGAGATCACAGAGGCTAAGTAGTTTCTCCAAGGTCACATGCAGAGCTGAGATTCAAACCCAGGTCCTCTGAAGTCCAAGTTCTTGCTACCATGCACACCTCTACAGGGTGCCACTGTAGGCCCAGCCTCGCCCCCTCCCACACCTCCTTGGCCAATAATTGACCTGGTTTGGCCCAGCCTGGGGTGACCCCTCAGCTTCCAGCTGCACCCCAGGCCTTCCGCACCAGTCTGCCCTTTGACCACAGTGTCCCACAATCAGATGAGTGACTCCAGATGTCAGGATCAGCTAGCTCGTGGTTATCAAGTTTGGGATATTTATGATACTTATTAGCTGACTTTAGCATAGTCCAGGCAGCTGGTCTCTGGGAGAATTCCTTTGGGCTGAATTTAAGAAGTTCCTCAAGCCAAGAACAAAGACCTTGGGCCAGGGATTTAGCTCAGTGGTTTCACTGCCTGCTGTGAAAGCCTGAAGACCAGAGTTCGATCCCTGGTACCAAAGGAAAAAAAGAACAAAGACTTTTTTCTTTTCCTTGATGGCAAATGTATGTTGGAAGGGTGGCTTCAGTCATCCAAACTTCCTGCTGTTGTTTATTTTATTTACTTACTTTTGAGGATGGGGCTAGTCTGTGGAAACCCTACATCTTTCTCTCAACAGACTCCTCATGCATTTGCTGTACTCAGGTCCTGTGGGTCTGAAGGTGATACTTGGATTCAGAGATGAAAACAAAGGGAGGGACTGCACCCCCCTGTCCTCCGCCCAGGCGCAGCCTGGCCTCACACCTCTCTGTGTACAGAAGAAAAGTTTCTGGGTTCAGATGCTGTGATTTTGCACCTAGAAAAGCCTAAGAAATCTGCAGAGTATCTCTGGTGCTAAAATTTCACTGGGAGGAAAATAAAATTAGGGAAAAGCATCTAAAAATGCCTCATAGTGGGGAAATAATGAAAAAAAAAGTTGGAGAAACATTGGCTTAAAAAAAACCCTTGGAAGTAGGAAAAGTTTCAAGCAGGAGGACTGGGAGGTTGGGGTGGCTTTGGGGTGCCTGGCTTTCCCATCAAGGAGGAGAAACCGGGAAACCCGCACCCTCCCCAGGTCCAGGCACCCTGTAATACCCGCTACAGATGGTGGCAGTGTAGACACGGACTCCTGGTTTCCCTTTGGGCAAGCCCTCCTCCTATTTCCCCAGTACCGCAGACATAGGCCACTCACTTCCATGACCACAAGTTTTGCAATACCTGTGTCCCTGCTGGTCATGTCGTTACTTAATGTTTGTCCTAAGTGGATCTTTAAGGAATCCCTCGTTATGCCTGGTGTGGTGGTGCACACCTGTAATCACAGCACTGAGGGAGACTAAGGCAAGAGGATGACAAGGTCGAGTTCTTTCTGTGCAATTTATCGAGACCCTATCTCAAAATGAAAAATAAAAAGGGCTGGGGATGTAGCTCAGTGGTAGAGTGCTCCTTGGTTCATCACTTGCACAAAAAAAAGAAAAGAAGAAAAGCAAAGAAGAATCCCACACAAACATCATTTTGAGCAACGCAGAAACCATGGTTTTGATGGTTGGTTACATGGTTTCAAATAGATGTTAAAATAAATATAAAAGGTGAAACATTTAGGAACTGTTCTCCATGCACACTCCCTGTTCTCTCCAACAGCCTGGGAAGGCGACAAGGTGCTGTAGAAAGGGCTGAGGTCCCCAGCAGCCAGCACCCAGTTCCACCCTCTTGCCCAGCCCAGTCCAGCCCAGCCTCAGTCAGGCTGGTGGGCTGTGGCGCCCCCTGCTGGCCATGTCTGGGAGCGCCCCAAGCCAAGCTCCCCTAGCCCGCCTGGGAGTCTAGGATGCCCATACCCAGCGGGAGGGGGAAGGGTGGAGCGTAAGAGAACAGCCAGGCCCGACACCAGGGCAGCAGCTGGGCATCCTGCAGGTGGAAGGAAGAGCAAGGCTCGGGCTGGGGTTCAAGCGATTTTTGTGGCCTACATGGAGATGAGTGTCTTCAGAGTGGACAGGAATTTTTCCGGCTGGCCTCTGCCCCAAGTTTGCCCCCTTTGGCGTGTTGAGAACACAGAGCTACCCACTACTCTGCCACTCTCAACGGGTCCCCTGCTCTTCTCGGTGCCCGTTGAACCCAGGACCCCACAGCTGTCTGCTCTGTCAGACCAAGCTTTATTCCCTGGAAGCCAAGCTCATGACTTCCTCCCCCTTTCCCTTTGAGATGGGCCCTTGCTCTGTCCTCAAACTCACAACCCTCCTGCCTCAGCCGCATGTTATTTTTCTTTTTTGCTAAGATCAGTTTATTTTTCTATCATTTATAAAGCAATCACATTCCCATCTTAGTTGTCTGTGAAAGATCTTATATTTGTGTGGTTTTGTACATATTAAAAAGGTATTTTCACACATACATTTTCTGATTGGTTCACATGAAGATCCTATGACAAATAATCTGCACAGACCCATTTTATAGTGGGAGAGCTGGGGGATCAGGGAGTTAAATGTGCAGGCTGTGAAAGCTGAAATCCAGTGCCCGAGGGTGGCAATGTAAGCTGTCTGACATCCACACAGTGTGTGCCCTGGGCACCCCCCCACACCAGTTACTCTTGGGGCCCAGCAGAAGGGTAGGGCTGTCATCAGGGGCCAGTGGCCAAGCTCTCGCTCACCCTGGTCTCAGGCTCCTGACTCCCTCTGAAGGGACTCATGGAGCTGGTGTCTCTTTTCCTGCCTGTGGCTTTCCCCTTTGGAAATGGCCCGGGCGCAAGCCCACTCTGGGTCTCCCTACTTGAAATAGGGGATTCACATTCTGGAGACACTGAATGGGGGGCTCTCAGCTCTGCTATGTTCTGGAGGACCCCACAAAGCACAGCTATGTGGGGCAGGCGATGGTCCAGGCAAGAGGCACCTCAGTGGCTCCCTGGGCTGGGCTGGGCTTAGTGGAGTTTGTGATTGGAGAATCAGGCTTTTAAGAGTCCCTTTTTTGGGGGGACAGTGAGACAGGGTCTCACTATGTAGTCCTGGCTCTCTGACCCTGAACTCACAGTGATCCTCCTGCTTCAGCCTCCCATGTGCTGGAATCACAGGCACATACTACAGTGCCTGGATAGATTCCATCTTTATTTAGGCTGTGACAGTCTGGACAGCCCGAGTGCCCCTTTAGTATAAAACCTGTGATCCACAGTGCCTCAAAACAGCCAGTATGGTAGGGCTAGAAGTGGTCAAGTCTGAGGGCAAAGATGAGGGGCCCCTGGGCCAGGGATTTAGCTCAGTGGTTTCGCCACCTGCTGCACAAGTGCAAGGACCTGAGTTCGATCCCTGGTACCCCCCCCCCAAAGATGAGGGGCCTCATGCTACCCTGTCAGCTGCCAGGGGGTCAGCACAGCCAGGCTGGGTCCTGGCATCCCTCCCTCCTCTCCCTCCACTGTCTGCTCAGAGCCAGAGTTGTAACAAGAATTTGTTTCCAATGCATCTGAGTTCACTGTGGGTGCCAAGTGTGCCCAAGCTAGGAGCAAATCCTGCAGGGTGCCTATGTGGATCCTGAGCCACCCACTGGACAGGGTGGGGTGTGGGTACTCAGCCTTTACTGTGTGAAAGCGGAGGCCATCCACCATCAAGGTGGGCACCTGGGCTCTCTGGGAACCAGGAGGAGGAATGGGGAGAGGGGAGGGTGGGGGAAGGAATGGCCCTGAGCACTCCGTTCTGAAACTGACCTCTGGAGTGCCCACGGGTTTGGAATGGGAACTAAGCTCAGGATGAGAACTTTTGTTTGTTTGTTTTTAAGACAAGGTTTCCTTATGCAGTTCAGGCTAGCCTTGATCTCACTATGTATCCCAGGCTGGCCTCGAAGTTGCAGAAATCCTCTTGCCTCAGCCTCCCAAGTCCTGGGATTATAGGCACACACTGCTCCACTGGGCTCTGGGATGAGAACATTTCTCATCTGCTGACTCAGAGGCCTGCTGCCCATGCCTGAAAGCCCAGGATGGCAGAGCTGGCTGTGCAGAGCTCCCCCAGCCCAATCAGCTCCTTTCAGAGATGGGGACACCAGTGCTCCGGAAGGAGGAGGAACAGGGAGAAGGTTTCCTCTGCTGCCCCACATCCATTTGGCTGGAGAAGCACAGAGCACTGGCCCCACCAGCAGAGACCCTGCTCTGGAGGCCTGAGGCAGACCCTGTGGATGTGGGGGTGCCGGTGCCGCCGGCCACCCATGGGGACATCGCTTGGGAGGCTGTGGGTAGGGTGGTGCTGGGAGAGGTCTGCAAGCCAAGGGCCCAAGAGCAAAGCTGTGGGATGGAAAAGGCATGTTAGTGCAGTGGGGACAGGGATGGCACAGTTTCTGCCGCTTTTTGTAGCCCAAGGCCCCTTTGGGTGAATTTGCTCCAAGAAGGACTCAAGCAGAGAGTGGGCCGAGAGGCTGGGAAACCAGCACTCATGGGGGGAGTTTGGTGTGGAAGGCACTTTGGGTACCCATGGGCACCTCTATGCATGGGTGCTAGGGAGGGGCTGCAGGGCCTCAGAGACCTGAGGTTATGCCTTCACTCGGAGCCTCTCTGGCTCAGGCTCCTGGATGGGAGGTGTGGGTGCCCGGCCTCCTCTGTAGGATTTGCAGAGAAGGGGAATTTGGTCCCAGAGAAAGGGAACTGATTTTGGGCCAAAGGATCACAGAGTGCTGGGGACCAGGCCCTGGGAATGCTGGATGGGCGGGGCCTACTCAGGCATCCCTCAGCTCTGCTTGGGGCCAGTGAGCCTGGGAGAGAGGCCTCTCTCCTGGGCCTGGGCCTAGGCCTGCTCCTCCAGCAGGAGGCCATCCAGGTAGGTCCTCAGGGCTTGCAGGTGGTGTGAGGGCTGTGCAGGGGACAAGGCGCTCTGTGGGCTCAGGTAGCGGCCATACTTCTTCAGGCCACGCTGTGGGTCACAGCGGTGTGCAGTGAGCAGTTCCAGGAAGCTCACCCTGTGCAGGGCCAGGATCTGGGTCTTAGCCCGGGGCAGGATGCCTGCCTGCACCAGGGGCTGCAGAGAAGAGAAACACTGCAGGATGCCAAAGGGGTGGACATGCTGGGTCAACTGTGGGCCACGTGAGATCTCAAGCAGCCGGCACAGGTCGCGCATGGCCAGCACAGTAGCCAAGGCACTGTGCTTGCTCACGTTCCTTGCCAGGTAGGTCTTAGCCAGGTTCTTGAGTTTGAAGCTCCTGGCCCCGGGCACCTGCTCCCGGATGAGGGGTAGTGCAGCCAGGAAACCTGAAATGGCCTCCTGGAACTCCCAGAGCCTATTAATGTCCTCCAGGGCCTTGAAGAAGTTGGGAAGGCCGGGCCCCCACAGCTTATAGCAGGCCAAGATGGGGCGGTGCATGGACCTCAGGAAGCTGAGGAAGTGTCGCAGTCCTGCCTCCAGGGAGACGGCCTTGGTGTAGACGCTGTTGAAGGCCTCTGGCTGGATGAGCACACGGAACTTGCTTTCCTGGTTCACGGCCGCCAGCTGGCTAATCTTCTGAGCTGGGCAGGAGAGAAGGACATGGTGAGGCCTGTGGGCACTGGTGATGCTGTGGAGGGTGCATCTGACCCACCTCCTAGAGATCCTGCCTTCGGGCTACTGGTAGAATGAGGCAGCAGCCTCCAAATGCAGCTCTGACTGGGCTCCGAGGCCGAGGTCATAAGGAGAGCCCAGACTGTCCTTCACATGCCTCACCCACCAGATGGGGGTCCAGCTGTCCTCCACCCCTCCCGCCATCGAGTTTGCCAAACTTGTAGGAGGAGCCAAGTCATTCCTCTGTCTTCTCTCACCTATACAAGAGAACAGAGACTGCTTCTCCCTGGCCCCATCCCTTAGCTAAGGCTTTCAGTCCGCTCAGCACCCTGTGCTACATGAGTACCTGCTGCTTCTGGCTGGTGGGGCTTGCCCCAATGTCAAGTCCACACTGCAGGCCAGGGCCAGGGTTCCTGCTCCAGGGGACATTTCAGGGCCAAGGCAAGTGCTGGGGGCAAGGGGTCATCTCTCCCATGGCCCTGGCTCTGTCAGTTTCCTGTGCACTCTCTTGTAGGTCAGCCCTGTACTCAGGGCCACAGCTTTGCTGGATGACCGGTCTCAGCAAGGAGCCTGCCACTATTCCTGGTCACAGAGCATCCCCTGGGCTCTCTGCCCAAGAGGAGGTCTGGTCAGGGGTGAATGCACAGGGTGCCTGCCTCCCTCCCATAGCCAAGCCCTACTCTCAGCTGCTGTCCTCGTTCATACCACTGAGCCATGTACCTTGGGGCCCAGGGCAGCCGTGGTGAGCTGTCTGCCTGGCTGTCACTGGCTGGGCCTTGTAGAGAGCTCTGCCTGCACTTCTCCCAGGGACTCAGAGACTAAGCTAGAAAGGGACAGGGTGGCCCCAAGAGAACCCACTTTCATTGTCAATCTTGAGGTTAAAGAACACCAGGGGCCTGTCTTCTGCCCGGGGGTCAGCGTGGCTCTGGTCTTGGACCTGGAGGGAACTGGTCTCCTCCAGCTGGAGGTCACTAGACTCACTGCTGCTGTCGTCCAGCTCCTGAAAGGACTGCAACAAAGAAAAAACAACAGGTCAGGGTATCCAGGGACTGTGGAAGGAGATCGCAAGGTGAGCATGTGCCCAGCAGCTAGTGTACATGAGTTTGTGCGCAAGCCAACACAACTAGGGGCATCTGTGTGCACACAGGGAGGGTGGATTATAGAGAAACGTGTGCGTGAGAATGTGTGTGCATGAACAGGTGTGAACAGTGTACATTGCATGTAAGGATCACATGTGTGAGGCAGGGCACGTGTCTGAGGGAGTAGGTGTGAGGGGTGAGGTCACACGAGGAAGCGTGAGTGTGTGTGGATCTGCACAGATGGTAGTGAATGTGAGCCTCTAGCACACTGGTGGGCAAATGTGTGGAAGTGTGAAGATGTGAATGAGTATGTGGATGGACAACCTGTGCCGTTTGTGGAGATTTGGGGAAGGGGCAGATCACTCTGAGCGTGCTCAGTAGAAATGTTGCAAACTTGGAATGTGAGGAAGCAGCCTCATCTGCAGTCCTAGGTAATGTTTCTAAAAGGGGTCAGGGACTTGGATTTCCCTGTCCTGAAAGCCAGCTTCGGTCCCAGTACCTTGCACAAAAGGGAGGAGGACAGCTCAGCCTCCTGGATGCCACCTCTGGGTGGACGCTCCGGTCCCTGGCAAAGAGAGGGCAGTGTGGGAGCTCAGAGCTCAGCACTCACACCTGGCTGCAGGGGAGCTAAGCCCTTTGAGCCAGGCCTGGCACCCGAGACCTGGCACCCCAGCAGCAGCACTGGTCCTGGCTGTGGTGCTAGTGAGGCCCTGGGCAGGGAGCCGAGCTGGAAGAGCCCCACTTTGAGAGGTTTCAGGGAGCCTGGGCTGCACAGTGGGTGGAGCATCTAATGGGAACACAGAGTCAGTTGCTGAGCATCTGCACAACCACCAAGCCCAGATGTTCAACCTTTGGTGAACCTCCTGTGAATGCCACTGTGGACGTTACCCAGAGACTGGGAGGAAGGGACGCAGCCAGTGTCTTGGAGACAGAGCTCAGTGTCTGTTTCCTCTGGCCCCTGGCTGACACCCGCGCATTGGGAGACAATCCACATACCCCCCAGGGCATCTACTGTTGGGATGAACATGTTTTCCACAAACCTTCAGCCAAGAGGAAAGTCACCCCTGCCCACGAGCAGGTTAAAGTGGGTGGGTTTCACTCTATTTGTATTTTGGGGCCTGTGCCGGGCTCACCAACTTCCTCCAGGCAACTGATGGAATCAGACATCAAAGACAGATCTGTCTAGGGCTGGGTTTGCTGAATGTACCCCGCACCTCTGAATCGTTGACTCCATCAGTGTCAGGCTGATTTTCCGTCTTCTTCTGAGCATCTCCTCTCCACACAGCCTCCCTTGAGGCATCCTCCTGGTTGCTGGCTGCAGCACCATGGTCTCTGTCCTCTTCCCTTCAAAGGCTATGAATTGTCTTCCATCTCTAGCCTTCTGGGTGCTCCCACACTTGAGCCATGGATAGGGCTGGGCTGCCTGCTGTGTCCTCCCTGGCCCCAGCTCCCTCTTGCCAATAGCCGGGCCCCATCTTGCTGGGCCGCAGCTTCATCCTGCTACTCACCAACACAGCACACTGGGCTTTCTCTTCTTCCTTCTTTCTGCTCCCAACAGAACTGCCGAAAGGTTCTCTGTGATCCTGAGTGCTTCTTCCTGGCTTTTCCCATCTGGCAATGTCCCTGGCAGCCCCAGAGCCATCTTGCCAGCTTTAGACCTGCATCTCCAAAAGCAAGGCTCTCCAGAGAGCAACACAGCTGCCCCTCTGGGCCACTGTCCTAGTCACTTTCTCCCTGCTTAGACATAATACCCAATACCTATGACTTAAAGAAGAGGTTTATTTGGGCTCACAATTTGTAGAGGTTTCAGTCCATAGTCATCTGGTTCCAAGGCAGGGCGGCACGGCACAGGGTCACAGCACAGGAAAGTGTTCATGGCATGGCAGCAAGGAAGCAAAGGGAGAAGGGAAGAGCTGGGGAAGGAGATAAACTCTTCCAGGAAGTGCCCCTAGTGACCCACATCTTCCAACCAGACCCTACCTCCTAAGAGCAAGTCAGCTCTAAACTCATCAGTGGACTAATCCACCTATGATCATCACACATCCATGATCCAATCAACTCCCCCAACCCCGACCTGAATGCATGAGGCTTAGGGGGGTGGTGTCCAGATATAAACCATGACAGCCACCTCCCCATCTTCACACCAGGTCACACATATGGCAGCCCTCACAGCCTTGCTGTCCATTGTCCTGGGGGTGTGGAGATGAGGCTTCCTTCCCTAAGGGCACCTTGGGGGCTCCTCATGGATGGGACCCCTCTTCTCCCGAGCTTTCCCAAGAAGGAAGGGTGGGATCTCACAACTTGACACCTCTTGCCTTTGGGGACTGTAGGAAGGGATGGCCACCCTATGTGGGTGGATTACTGGACACCTTGCATTTAATCCAGACAGCTGTGAACCTACAACTTCCTCTGCCCTTAATCCCAGCAACATGGCCAAGGAATCCCAGGACACTGAAGCAAGACTTTTCTAAAAACTCTGGGCTACCAGGAAGAAGAGCAGTGGGCACACAGAAGGCCAGACATTGGCGCCTTTCCCTCCCTGTCCTCTAAGGAAACTCCTGTTCCACCTCAGCTCCAGCTTTATTCCATAGAACAGGATGGCTGGGTACAGGGCAGGGGAGTGGAGCACAGATGAGGACAATCTGGGGACAATGCCAAGAGATTTGATCAGATGAACAGGGAACGGGAAGAAGAAGGCAATAGGTTCAGAAACTCGGCAGCCTATGGGTGAGGATAGGAAAGGGAAGAGGAAGAAAAGGTCTGAGGATCAGTGGATCGGGAAATGCCGAGAACTCAGCATGGGGGCTTGAATTGAAGAGTGCGGGTGTGGGTTTTGAGCCAGGCTCTCTTTGACAGTCTCAGAAAGAGGCAACTAAACACTGGAATAGGTCACTCTGTTAGATTGGCTTGCTGGGCTGTGCTTCTCTGAAAGCAAACTGACGGAGCCTCGTGGGATCCAAGAGGTGCTGAATTAAGAACACACATGCAATCTGGCTGACCAGCTGTGTCCACCTCGTGCATTTCCATCACAGATCCCATGGCCTCTGCCAGTCGACTGCAGCCTAGCTCAACACAGCAGGCCCGACAGTGGCCCCAGGTGTGTGCACAGGAAGTGCTAGCTGACAGTGGAGCCAGCTTCCCAAAGCCTGGGAGGTTTACCGGGACATCCTGGCTCACTTGTCCCCCATTGTATCATACCCTGTAGGGAATATCACCTCCATTCAGGCCTCAACCACATAACTTGACATTAGTAGCACTAAAAAACTCCGGAAGCCAAGACTGTATCACAGAACAACAGAATCAGAATCCCCAGGTGTGGGGACCCAGGAATGCACAGTTGCTGAAACTCCCCAGTGCCAAGGAAGGCCTGGGAACCACTGTCCTCCCTGTGGATTAGTCCCATGTTTGGTCATCAGCCAAGTAGCCCTCTTTGATGGTCAGCATCCACCTCCTGACAATATCTAGCATCTGACAGTGACATGCAGTGAGTTCCCAAGCTCCTGAGAGCCCTCTCAGTGCCCAAACCTCAGCGAACAAGACACACAGTTCTGTTCCTGCAGACACAAACCTCCAGCTCCTGCAAAGTCGCATAGGTCCAGGAGACAGTATCACTGGCTAGGCTGTGCCTTCTGTGGCCCCTTTCACGTGGCACTGTGCCCCACCTTCTCCACTGAGCACCCCAACTCTTTCTAATATGCACACTTACCAGCACCATGGCTCCCCGCAGCACCAACTGCTCCCACCACTGCCACCTCTACCTAGGGTTGCCCCCTTGGTGGGGCCCTCTCCTGCTTCCACTTGGTCTAGCTGCTACCAAGGCTGTGGAGCTCGGCATCTCTCACAAAAGTGGGTGAGAGAACCTATCTTCATCAGCTTTGGATCCTCAGACAGGCTCTGCTAGAGGTGCTGCTGACCCATCCCAGATGTTATATTATGTTATATTTCACAGTCCTCACCCCAGGGATTCCAAAAGCAGGCCTGAGATTCACCTTCCACTCTGACTTACTGTGCCACACAGCACACCTCCTTTCTCCAGGTCTCTCCCTGAGCCCCAGACAGGCAGAGACAGCAGACACAGAGGAAGTCCATGCCACAGCCCCTCCAAGCCCTGGGCCACTGGGAAGAGGCACCGCTTGAGCAGACCACCCTTCTACCAGCTCTCAGATGAGGCTTGACAAAGGCCATGGGCAGGCAACACATGGGGCTGGGTGGCCTGGAGCACCTTGTCCCTTGGCTCAGGGAGTGGGAATTTGCAGAGGGAATGCTGTGGGTTCTCTAAGGGGACCAGCGGTCTGAAGGGACTCAGAAAGTGGGCGAGCAATGCACCAGGAGGACCCAACTACTCATTTTTAAAATACTCTGGGGCCAGGGATTTAGCTCAGTGGTTCCGCCGCCTGCCTTGCAAGCACAAGGATCTGTTCAATCCCTGGTACCAAAAAAAAATACTCTTTGTATATTTGGGATTGTGGTGATGGTTAATTGTTTATAGGCACCTCTAAGGAAGAGGTCTCTGCTCTCTCACAACTTGGAGCTGCTTACTAAAGTGAGCGCCAGCTTCTAGCTGTGCACTTTTCCATAAACTGAAATGCACTCATCCTGCCCCATGATTAACCCCTCCAGACTCCTTGCTGACAGCTGGGGATTGGACATGACCCCCACTCACCCCGTACCCCTGCCCCTGCTCCTCAGTGCCACACTCCTGATGTCTGATGAGGCTCTGGGCACCTGTCTTTTCTTCACCTTTCCTTCCACAGTCAATGGCAGCTTTAGCTTTGTCACTATCACAGGATGGAGAGTGCCCAGGTACCAGAGGATGCAGGCCATGAAAAGAGGTTCCAAAATTGGCTGGATACAGGGAATAGGAATAGGATGGGTGGCTTGGGACTCCACCTACATAGTCACACAGACGGTGCAGCCATTCTTGAGAAGAGGGAAGAGGGGCTGAGGTTGAGAGGCCTGGAGCCACACCTATCAGGCAGGCAGCAACAGGACAGGAACTGCAGTGAGGGGTTGGCTGGGGCAGAGAGAACCCACAGATCAGAGAGAGTATAGGGCCAGGTCCAAAACAAGGAAGAGGCATGGAGGGAAGACTCAGAGTGAAGCCAAGGACACCCAGGACTAAGCGGGACACTGTGCTCAGGGGCGTGGAGCTAGAGGGGCAGAGGTAGGTGTCTCAAGGGAGAAGCAGCATGAAGCATCAACAAGGGGCCCAAGGGTGGGTGGAGACAATGACATCTTTCAGAGTGTTCAGTTGAGAAGGAAGTGGAAGCATTAGAAGATGCAGGAGAGATGAAGATGGAGAAACAGAGGCTCCCAGGGACAAGGGCTGCACCAGGACACAGGGCTGAGTGCTAGGGGCAGGCAGATGTCCTTTCTACCTGATGCAGAGGACAAAGAAGGCCTGGATGGGAACAGGTGAATCCAAAATTAGGCAAGATGTCCACGATCCCATGCCACAGGAGGCTCTTGTTTTCTCCCAGAAGCAGAAGGTGCGGTTACCAGCAGAGTGACCATTCATTTTCCAATGAAACCCAGGGAGCAGCCACATGGTGCCGGAGGGAGTGGCATCTGGGGCACCCAGAGGTCCTCAGAGGCAATGGACAGTGTGTCCTTTGCAGTTGTCTCTGGTGGCTTTTCTCTGACAGATCTCACCTCCAGGGGGCAGCAGGGAGGCAGCAGGCTCCTGATTCCCTTGTGTGCTCTCAGCCTAACCAGAGGCCCAGTGGGCAGGGAGCAGAAAGCCTGATTATGACTGACCAAAACCAGGACAGTGCCTGTTGGTTGAAGTTTGATTGATAGGACCAAGGGGTTAAGGAACTAGAGGCTGCACTCAGAGTCCAGGAGGAACAGTTTAGAGATGAGATGTGGTGGCGGTGAGGTGTAGGGTGGCCATAGAACTGGCAGCTAACATGGGATGGGATGATGACCCTTGGGAGGTCAAGGAACAGAGGTCAGGGGGCTGATGCTGATGTCGCCCAGGAGGAAGATGGGACTGAGTGGGAAGGCTATGCTCCCACCTGCCTGCCCCGAAGGGAGGTGGGCAGACCTTTGAGATAGACAGGTGGGGCTTGAGGAGACCCCAAGAGGGCCTCAAAGGCACAGGGGCCTCACTAGACCTTGGGGCCTTGCCCAGCCCCCACCTTGCATGCTTGTGAGTGTGGGAGGAAGTGGGGACCTGAGCCTCAGTGCAGCCTGCTAGCCGTGGAATAAGGGCTCGTAACAGTGGTTGTTCAGCAAGTGTTTATTGGGCAGCACATCTGCCGGGGCTTGGGACAGCCACATAGGCTGTGGTCCTGGAGGAGGCCCAGGGAAAGGACTGGGTGGGGATATAGGCTGGGAGTATGGGAGGGCACAAGGGGTGAGAAAAACTTCCTTCTCGGGTAAAGAGGCCTGCGAGGAAGGCCGGCCTAAACCTCAGCCATGTCCAGGGGCCATGTTACTGGACCCCACGGCAGGGGGTCTGGCTGAAAGATGGAGCCAGCAGCCACAGAGGGAGGCTCTTGGGGCTCTCAGAGGCCTGGCTGAGGAGAGCCTGGCCCAGGCTGGTGAGGGGCCTCTTGGGCTCATGCGAGGGTGGAGATGCAATCGGAGAGGCATCCACTGGGACTGGGACTTGGGGGTTCTCCCCAGGGGGCTCTGCCCAAATCCCTGTGGGGAACCCCTGCCCCTAGTCAGGAATGCTGAACCCCTCCAGGGAAGAGGCATTAAGCTGGGAGGTCGTGAAGGGAAGAGGAGGGCAAAAATACTGTCAAGCCATTGGGCTTAACTGGGGGAACCTCGGAGCGCACGGCAGCGGGATGGCACTGCCCTGAGTGCCCGGTGGGGCAGGCCAAGGAAGCTCCATAGGCGTCCAGCAAGCCCCTGGATGCTTCGAGGATGGCTGGGAGCTGATGTGGTGACAGGGGTGGTGGCCTGGGCCACGGGGCCTGACAAAGTCCGTACAGTGCCCCAGTGCTGGTGGAGGGTGTGGTGAAGGCTGATGGGTGCTCTCTGTGCCCTGCGCAAGCGAGTGCGGATCCCTCGGAGGACAGCGGCAAGCTCCTGGCGATTAGGAGGCTGGTGGGGACACTCGGTGCTCGGGGCTGCGGCAGGCTGGGCAGGATGCCAGAGAGGCCAAGCTGGGGGCCAGCATGTGGCCAGGGGCTGACGGGAGGCCTCTTGTGCTCTCTGCAGCAGGGGGCAGGCTGGCGAGGAGGGTGGCTCAGTGGTCTCTGGTGGTTGCAGGCACTTTCAATATAGAACCTCATATTGAGGGCTGTGTTCTATCCCATCCCTTTCCCTGGACAGGGGACGCCCCAGCCTCTGATACCACTCACAGACAGAGGGGTCACTAACCACAAGCCCACTGGTTTCATCTCAGGATGGCTTTAAAGTTGTTTCTTACATAGAGCCAAAACTTGCTAGTCTGGTCCCTGTGACTTCACACCTTTCCCTCTTCCAGTCCTTACTGGCTGTGACAAGCAGGGGATAGATTCTTGTCCAGCCTCCCTCACAGAGGATTTAGGGGACAGGAAATGCATGTGGAAGTTGCTAAGGCCTTGAACATTGCAGAGGACAGCGGGCTCTGGAAGGAAGCATGTTACCAGGCATCTTGCAAGAGCACATCTGGCCGCCAAAGGTCTAAGGTGAGTTTGAGAGTCACCCACAGAGGCTGTGGTCCCTGGGACCTGAAATGGGGGGCAGTGGGAGTCCTGGACCGGCCTTGTGGGCCACTCACCGAGTTCTCAGCATCAGAGTCTTCTGAGCTGCTGATCACCACAATGCGCTCATCTGGAATGGAGAGCAGGGGCTGCATTAGGGCCCATCGGGGTGCACACCTGGAGGATGTGCTGGCTGGGCGGTGGGGGTCATGAGGTGGGGAGGGAGGGTCATAGGTCAGGGCATGGGGTCCTTGCAGGCCAGTGGGCTGGGAGGTGACAGTGTTCTGCCAGGGGCAACAAAAACGTGCTGTGTGTGCACCAGTGGATCTGCTTTGAGCATGGATTTTTCAAAAATGGATTTCTATCATTTCCAATTGTGCTCATCTGTGTATATTTATTCAAGCTACTGGCCAAGAGTTGAGAATTTTCTCCCTGTACAAGGGGCCTGATAACAATCTTCGGTTTGGAACTTTGTTTTTGGTCTAGGGATTGAACTCAATCCTTTTTTTTTAAATTTTGAGACAGGGTCTCACTAAATCACTGAGTTGCTTAGGCTGGACTCGAACCTGTGATCCCACTGTCCCACTTAGTCCTACTGCCTCAGCCCCCAAGAGTGCTGGGATTACAGATGTGCAGCACCACCCCTGGCTGGAACCCTTTACAATCCTAGAGAAGAACATTGGTTTGTTCCAATCTCAGCCCTGTGCGAGAGGAACAGGAGGCAGGGCCCTGTGTGTGACCAGAGTTGGGGCTCTGTTGGGAACCTCCAATATAGAATAAAAACAGGCCTTCTAGTTCCAGAATATTTAGAGTTGACCTCAACTCCTTCCTGAGGACTCAGTTTCCTTGTCTGACAGGGTCCATAAAAGATATTAGAGAGGACAAAGGAGATACCTAGGTGGGTAGTGTTTGCAGAACTGGGGAAATGTGCAGGTGGACTTCACACAGCCCTCTCTGGGAGTGTTAGATCCTCACCAACAAGCATTTCCTGTACTGCAACTGCCTGTGCAGAGGCCTGGAGTGGGCACTGGAAGTGCTGGAGAAAGGACACAAGAACTATGGGTTTCAGCCCCTCGGTTTCCTCATGCTGGAATCAAGCAGGGCACATGGGAGCCCAGGGAGCCCACCCCTGGGCAGGTCGTAGGCTGTCCTCCCTCTGTGGTGGCTCAGAGCAGGACCCACAGGGGGTCCTGTGGGCTCTGGGCTTCCTGGGAGGTCAGGTTTTAGAGGGGGCCTCACTCTGCCCCTGTTGTCCCACCCCCAGCCTACCTGCCTCTGCAGCACCGCTGATCACTGGGGTGCTGTTGGGCTGCAAGACCTCTTTTCCCACGGTGGGGCTCTCAGGCTGGGTGGGCCCATCTGGGTGTGGGGGTGAGACTGCCCTGGAGGTGCTGGGCCTGGGCTGCTCTGTGGGCCTGGGGGCCATGGGCACCTCCTTGCCCTCTTCCGACTCCAACTTGATGATCTTCCTGGAGCACTGGGTCTGGGAGGACTTTCTCTTCTGCGGGGAGACTATGTTGGAGACCTGTGTGGCAGGGAGTCACAGAGCTGGGTCAGGTCTCTCCAGGGTTGGCGACCAGAGACCTGGACTGGGTACCAGGGGCCTGTGGCCACATCTTTTATTTTTATTTTTGCAGTACTAAGGATTGAACTCAAGACCTTGTGCATACCAGCAAGTGCTCTGCCATGGACCTACATCCTCAGTCCTTTTTATTTTTAATTTTGAGACAGGGCCTTGATAAGTCATTATGCTGCCAGGGCTGGGCTAAAACATGTGATCCTTCTGCCTCAGCCTCCTGGGTAGCTAAGATGACAGGTCTGTGTCACCATGCTCAGTGCTGTGGTCATATCTCTCTTCCTCCTCCCACTGTCATTGTGCCCTTTCCTCTGTTCTCTGCTTTCAAACCATGCCTCTCATGCACAGGAAGCCTCCTGGGCTGCCATGCACACTGGTCCTGGTGCTAGGTACCAGCCCCTGTCAGCCCCTTCCAGCCTCTACGGGCACTGGGGTCTCAGTGGCCTGATAGTCTAGCCAAGAGCAAGGGAGAGGGCAGACTGGGCGTCAAGCAGATCCATCCTCAGGAGGAATTAATGACAACCAGGACTCTTCCCCCATGCTCCCTGCCTGGGTGGAGCTAGGACTCAGGGAGGGAGGCATGGAAAGTAGGGCCTTACCTCTCCAGATGGGGGGCTTCTCATGGAGAAGGCATAGATGGGCATGGGGTGTGCTCTGGGCACCAAATGTACCACGGCTGCTGGCTGGGCCTCAGACAGCCCCAGGGGCTGGGCCTGTGCCTTCGGTGCCTTGTTGGACTGCAAAGTTGGAAAACAAGAGTCAGAAACAACTGAGGGGCCCCAGGCGCATCCAATCTTAGGCAGGCTCCCTGGTCCCAAGCTGGGTATTCACTGGAGGCAAGGAGCCTTCCCTAAACCTGCCATGACCTCACCTCCACCAGACCCTGGGGTGGTGTCCAGTCACATGTCAATTCTCATGTGTCCTAATACCTCAGGCTCCACACTACCCAGTTCCTCCTCAAGATGTGCCCAAGAGTCTAGCATGTGCATGCAGGAGAAGGTGCTTGCTGCTAAGGATCACAGCTCCCTCAGCAACACAGAGTTCTAGTGGTGAGAAAAATCCTGGCACCAGGCTGACCCTGGCCCCTGCACAATTAACTCTCCCTGGACAGCTATGTCACAAACTGGGCCAGTTCCTCCAAACTTCTTGGCCTCGGCCTCCTTCTGTAAAATGAGAGCAACAACACCTCCCTTATCCACCAGTGTGAATGACATGGGTTCAACATAGGCACAATGTTTGGAAGAGCACCTCAAACTTTGAAAGTTCCATTAATGCTGGTGATGATGATAATGACAAAGATGCAGACAAATGCTGTTTTATGACAACTCCATGCTGGGATCAGTGTTTAGAGCTTCATGCACCTCCCTCACAATGAAATAAATGGGTGGGCAGGGTCTCGGCAGATGAAACAAAGCATGACCATACAAAGCACAACCATAAGCAATTCTACTCCTTAGCATGTATCCCAGAGAGACACTCAGATGACCTGCACACAGGGCTGGGAGTGTAGCTCAATGTAGAGCCCTTGCCTAGCATGGATGAGGCCCTGGGTTTGATCCCCAGCACTGAATTAAAAAAATATATATGTTATATTTTATATATTTATGTGTGTAGCACTGGGGATTGAACCCAAGGCCTTCACAGGGACTAAGCATTGCAAGAATAATGCACTGACAGGATTCAATAAACACCTTGCAATAACTCAATATCAACAGTCTCAACTCCCCAGTCAAAAGACACAGACTAGAAGATGGGATCAGAAGACAATATGCAACCATATATTTAGTACAGGAGACACACAATTCATCCAAAAAGAGTCCACAGACTGAAGTGAAAGGATGGAAATGATATGCTATCCACCTGGAGCCTGAAAACAGGAGTCTTATTTTCAGACTCAGCAGACTAAGTCAAAAGTGACCAGAGGAGACAAGGGTGGACACTATATACTGGTAAAGAAAACAATTCAACAAGAAGAGGTAACAATTGCAAATACCTATGCATCGAATGTTGGCACACCCAACTTCATAAAACAAAAACTACTGGACTTAAAAGGCCAGACAGATACCAACACAGTCACAACAGGGGACTTTGATACCTCATTTCCCAATCAGATGGTCAACCAGACAAAAATCCCCACAAAGAAACATCAGAGTTAAACCACACCATTGAACAAATAGACTTGAGATGTCTACCGGGATTTCATCCATCAATAGCAGAATACACATTTCTTATAGAAGCACATGGATCTTTTTCTGAAACAGACCGTTTCTTAGGCCATAAAGCATGCTTAAATAAATATAAAAGAACTGAAATAATCCCCTGCATACTAGTGAAGCTAGAAATCAGCATCATGATGATGATGAAATGATGATGATGATAATGATGATGATGATGATACAAAGGGTTAATGAATCAAAGAGTTGGTTCTTTGAAAGGATGGAAAGGGGACCTGAGGATGGGGGAAAATGGCAGGGAGGAGAAGGGAAAAGGAAGTAAAAAGGATCAAGATGGGACATGCATATGCACCATTTCCCCCATGGTGAATGTTACTATGTATCGCAAACATGTACAAATAAAAAAGGAGGGGAATACTCAGCATTGCAAATACAAAGAACAGAAATAGACTTTGGGTATTAAGAAAAAGAGTTAGCTATCAATCCTTCATTTAGCTTCCCTTGGGTAAGCTCCAGCTTCTTTCTGGGCCTCAGCTTTATCCTCTCTCCTAGTTCTAAAATTCTCCAGCTCCATACTCTGCCTCCTCCAGGAAGACTTTCCTGACTACCTCAGCCCATATTCATCCCTCTCTCCTATGGCTCACACCGTTGGAAAACTAGGAAGGCTTCCCACTCCTGCCTCCTCTTCAGGGAGGAGTGCTTGTTCCTGGGCCCAGATCCTTGGTAGGCAGCACACACTGATCAGAGGAACCAGGCTAGGGAAGGGACCAGGTGCCAGGGCCAGGAAGGGAATGGGAGCTCATTCCACTGGAAGGGAGCCCCGCCTGTGAACACCATTGCATCCCCCCGGGGAAGCCCTTTCAGAGTCAGAGCAGCCCAGGGATAGGAGCAGCTGTTCCCAGAAAGAACAGCCTCATGTCCTGAGAGGGTTGTGAAAGTGGGATGCCCATAGGTCACAGGCACTACAGAGGAGATGCCAACATGAGATGCCAAGAATTGTGGTTCTCAGGCATTTGATGGCCTGGAGTATGGAGAAGCCAGGCTGCTGGAAAGAAGACTCGTTCTTGGTTCTGTTCTCCATTCCAGTCCCAGAATCATGTGTGGGAAAAGAGAAGGTCAACCTGTGGTGGGCCCAGGAAATGGTCACGCATTAGTGTGGGGTTGAGGGACTGGGGAGGTCAGATGCCATAGCCAACAGGGCCACGCCAGTGAAAGCTTCCTTCAGTGCCTGTCTACCCCTGGGCCTCACTTCTGATGCTGGCTCATGGTCCATCAACCTCAGCGTTCAGGAGCTCAGTGCCACCCACCTGATCCCTCATTAATGCCTTCTTTTAATCCTTCCCAGGAAAGCTCCCATCATGCCACTCACTGTCCCTGCCCAACACACTCCCTGCAGACACAGTGACATGAGGCTCCCAAGTCTCCTGCACCTGCTGACCTCCCCTTCCCACCGCATAACTCTCTCACCTGGTCAGTGACAGAGGAGTCATTGGGGGTGCTGGAGGCCTCTGGGCTGGCTGTCTTGGACAGAGCTGCATCTGGAGAACACAAAGAAGGGGCAGGAAGTTCAGGGACACCCCAAAGAAGGGCATACTGGTCTGGGAAAGGGATGGGCAGGAGGTCTTTGTCGATTCTCCTGGATATGTTTTCTTCAGGGCATCCACAGACAGCTGGCAGTCAAAAGGAAAGCTCTGACTACAGAGGAAGGGACCCAGGCAGAAGGAAGGGAGAGAGGGTGGCATGGCAGAGCCCTAACCCAAATGTACCTCTCTCCATCTCCGGGCCAACAGTAGGGAAAGATGGGGACAGCCCTACAGCCCTTCCTGCTCATGAACTCTAAGGTGAGGGCTCCATGATGCTCTTCCCGATCTGTTTTTATTAAATATAATCTAAACCTCACCTGCTTCAGAATAAAATAACACTTCTTTCTGCTGCTGCCCAGTTATGATATGCAGGGGAGGCTACTTAACTCACTAGGCTCATTTTCCCGGAAATATGAGGCATACACCACCACCCACCATTTTGCGGTAGGAGGACTGAATCCAGGGCCTTAACCCTGAGCTACATTCCCAGCCCTTTACTTTTTAAATTTTGAGATGGGGTCATGCTGAGTCGCTAAGTTGCCCAAGCTGGGCTCGAACTTCTGATCCTCCTGCCTCAGCCTCCCAGAGTGCTGGAATTATAGGCGTGTGCTGCCCGGCTAGTTATCTATAAGCCCTTACATGATGAATGCCTGGGCACTCACCTGTCCCCTGAGGGATGCAAGACATGAGGTCCTGTAGGCGCACCTTGACCTCATCAAAGCTATCGGTGCGCACCGGGGCCTGCAGGTGCTGGGGCTCCTCCTGGCGCAGGCGGCACAGTGCCTCACGCAGGAAGCCGTGCATCTCCAGCATCTCCTGGTCGGAGGCATAGCGCTTCATCCTTTGCACCAGCGTGCCACCCACCCGGATGCGCTGCAGCACAGCGTCTAGGCGGCCCAGGCGCCGGGCCATGCCCTCATAGTCTCGCTGGTACTGCGCTTGCACAGCCTGCAGCAGCTCACGCTCTCGCGCCTGCACATGCGCGATCACTTGGCGCACATGCGCGTGGATCTTCTCCTCGGTGTCGGCGCGTGCCTGCCCCAGCTGGCTGACAGCAGAGCGCACCTCCGCACGCACTGCCTGGAAGGCGCCGTCCTGGTCCTGCAGCGAGCGCGCCATCGCGTCCAGCTCAGACTGCCGCTGTTGGATCTCCGTGCCGATGTCGCACCTGAGGTCGCCATGGTCGCGGTCCAGAAGCGCACACGAGCAGCACAGAGGCTTGGAGCAGCCTCGGCAGTAGAGGCTGTGAACACACAGGGCCAGCCTGGGTCAGGGTTCTCCTGCCCCTTTTCTTTTCCAATTTTTGTTATTAAATTTGTCTTCCTAAATTGCCAAACTTTCTGTCATGTTTCCAAGTTCGTACTGTCCCTCATTCTGTATTTATGGTTACGGTGATAGCACCCGAACTATCAATGAAACCAAAGGTAAAAGATTACCATAGCAACAATTTCTCCTTCCATGCAACAATGCAGAAATAAACACAAAGTAACCACTTAGCACCTCTTAGCTCCCCGCATCCAAAGCCATGGGTGAGAATGGTGGAATGAACATTCATCATCGCCCTCAACCTTTGCCAGAGCCCTCTGGGAAGTGTGACGTGCACACATTAAATCAGAGACCACATATCAAAACCATTTAGGGAACGGGTCCTCGACCCCCAGGCCCCAGACCAATACGGGCCAATTAGGAGCTGGGCTGCACTGCGGGAAGAAAGGGAGCAAGGCTTCATCTGTGTTTCAAGCTTCTCCCATCACGGCCTGAGCTCCCTCCTGACGGGTCAGGCGTGGCGTCAATCTCAGGGGAGCGCAGATCCTACTGAGAACTGTGCATACGCGGGATCTAGGCTGCCAGAGCCTTTGAATCATCCTGAAACCAACCCTACCCAACCCTGGCATGGAAAAACTGTTTTCCTGGACATTGGTTCCCGTCGCCAAAAAGGCTGGGGACCGCTAATTCAAGGGGTTGTGTAAAATCTTTTAAAAAATCAGTTCCAACAGTATCATTTCTGTATGACTTCCTCCTCTAATCTTACTTCCATTCATGACATTCCTCCAGGTCCACAGGCATAGATTCAATGTGTCTAATAGTTCCATTATATTCCAGATGGGTAACTGACTCCATCACTGTCCTATTGACAAGGCATTCATGTAATGGTCTGTTTATGCATTTTTTTCCTTTTGTTCTTTTCCTTCCTTCCTTTTTTTGGTCAATATAGACGATGATTTAATAACAACTACATTAGGTAGCCTAGTGCTTTGGTTTCTATGAAACAGTACAAATAACAAGTTAACTAAAGAGTGTACATTTCTATTTTAATATTTTATGCATTAAATATATTTTAGTTAAGGGTAAGTATGTGAGGTAATAGGCATATTAGTTTGATTTAGTCTTCCACAATGTATACATAACTATATACCATTATTGTATATATATAAATTTGTACAAGTATAAATGTATACATCATAAATATATACAACTTGTGAATTATATATGCATACATTTCTTTTTTAGCTAGCAGACACTTTTATAGCCTTTACTACATTCATTTTCCTACCAACCTTGTTATGTCCATGGCAAAGGGGACTTTGGCAGTATGGTTAAGAAACTTTATATAAAGGGATGATCCTGGACTATGGGGTGGGTCCAATGGGGTCCAAGAGGGTTACACAAGAGAGAGGGGTGAGGCAGGAGAGAGGGAGGAGGTGTGATGGGAGCGGAGGCTACAGTGACTCTATGTTGCTGGCTCTGAAGACAAGAGGGACCCAACAAGATAATATATCTGTTAGGTCAGCATGGTGGTAAACAACTGGAATGGCCGCTCTTGGGAGGCTGAGGCAAGAGGACTGCAGTGAGTTCAAGGCCAGTCTGAGCTACATAGCAAGTCTTGCCCTCACTCATCCCTCAAAAAAAGATGTTACAGTCCCAGGGATTTAGCTCAGTGGTTCTACCACTTGCCTTACAAGTGCAAGGTCCGGAGTCCGATCCCCGGTACCAAAACAAACAAAAAAATCAAAAAGATGTTACATCTGTGTTCTTTTTTTTTTTTGGTACCAGGGATCGAACTCAGGACCTTGCGCTTGGGAGGCAGGTGTGTGGTGTCACTGAGCTAAATCCCAGGTCCACATCTATGTCGTTCTATGCCTCTAAATTTGTAGCAATCTTAATTTTGTTACAGCAGCCAGAGAAAACTAATATCAAAACTCAGACAGGCAGGCTTGGAGTCCATGCATTTAAATTGCAATGCTGCTTCTTGTTCTTCCTGACATGTAGAGTTCTGCTTATCCCTTTATGACCATTCACTGAATTTCCTACATCAATGATTTTCCCCCCAAGTACCAGGGATCAAACCCAGGGGCAATGTACCTCTGAGCTACATCCCCTTTTTTCAATGTTTTTATTTTATGACAAGTCCTTGCTAAGTTGCCCAGATGGGACTTGAACTTGAAATGTTCCTGTCTCAGCCTCCCTCAGTGCATCAGTGATACCTTAATAGAAGCCTCAGCAAGCTTCCTGGGGTCTCAGTCTCCCCATTCTAAAACTGAAGGGTCTACACTGCCCCACCAGAGACCATGGGTGTGGACAGAAGAAAAAGTTCATGAGGAGACAAAGCCTGGCCTGTATCTGAGCTCTGCCAGTTCCTAGCTGAGGCCTTGAGCAATTTTTCCAAGTCTTAATTTATCCTCCTGTAAAATGGGAATAACAATGCTTCCTTCTCTAAGAGACTGCTTCAAGGACAAAGCCCACAGGTGGGTGTGAAGTGCTCCACTCAGGGCCAGGGGCTCATTCCAGAGCCATGAAATGAGACCACGAAAAAGCTACTCATGGCAGAGGTAATGAGGCAGGAGACCAGGGCATGGCAGCATGGCTGGGGAACTGGGCAGGGCCTGTCAGCTGTGGAGATTTGTTAACCATGGTGCAAGTCCTGCACCTGATACCAATCTTCTGGCACGAGCTCAAGTGGGTTTTTGATGGGAGGCTTAGAGCTGGCGTCAGAAGCGGGGGTATAAAAGATGGTGGCCATTAAGCCTGTGGTTGCTGGGGCTTTCTCACCAACTTGTCCTGCTGCACCCTGCAGACTGTACAGTACTTCCTCTCCTACTTTAGCTGGCCTCTGCTCACTCTGCAGAGTCCTTCTTTTTGGAGCACCTTTTCTTCTTGAGCATTTCTTTTGCAATTTTCTTCCTCAGCAAGGAGTCAGCACCACCAAGTGTGTCCCAGGGCTGTCCTCTTCTCAAAATGGGCAGGATACCCCAGTCTGGCCTCCTCTCCTGCTAGAGCCAGAGAAGCGCGTCCTATCTGTGGTAGAAGGAAACTGGGAGCTCAAATGCAGCAGGTGGAAATGCTATGAAAATGGGGCCAGGGGAAACTTGGATTCCACCTGTAATCTTAGCACTCAGAGCCATGAGATTAAGGCCAGCCTTAACTATACAGCGAGACCCTGTCTCAAAAAACAAAACAGAACAAAAAACAAAAACTAGGACCAAGGAGCTGGCACTGCAGCAGGATTCGAGGCAGAGCCTGGCTTGCCTGAATGGCAGTTGGAAAACTGCTCTTCTCCAAACCTGCACCTGCCTGTAGCAACTTGGAGCTTTCATTTTAATGAAGTAGCGAAGGGTCAGCTCTTTTGGAAATTCAAATAAGTACGAGGCAACCAAACGGATCCAGCAGGCATTCATAGACTAGTCCGGAAGCATTTAGCTACAACAGGTGACAGAGAGGAGGAAATGAGTTTGGAAGCAGGACAGAAGATGGGTAATTCCAGAACCTGGGCTGTTTAAAGAGGGAGTCCATTATTCCCAGTGACCTCCCTTCCAACTGGGCACTGATGGAGACAGGGAAGCTGAGGTCTTGGAGGAAAAGATATCAGCAGTCAGAGCAGGAAGGAGGAAAGAGGTGGGAGAAGAAGCACTGTCTATTTCACTGACCCACAAAATGTGAAAGGGAAAGACTGAATCTACCTAAAAAAGAAAAAAAAAAAGCATTAGGCTGGGGCTGTAGCTTAGTGATAGAGCTCTTGTCTAGCATGTGTGAGGCCCTGATTTCCATCACGAGGACCATACCAAAAAAAGGCACAATGGAAAGACGGTCAGATGACATGTTAGTGGAAAGGATTCAAATTTTGAGGAAATTCACTGACAATAATGCGCTGTGATGAAATAGTATTGAACACTGGCGAACAGGAACATAATTTGGATTTACATGCAGAAAAGGTTGTGTGAAGTAGGACAAAGTTTATCACAGTGATAATTGGGTGTGGTGGTGCACATCTGTGATCCCAGCACTGTGGGAGGCTGAGGCAGGAGGATCACAAGTTCAAGACCAGCCTGGGTGACTTAGCAAGCTACTGTCTAAAAATAAAAAGGGGGTCAGGGATTTAGCTCAGTGGTGCCATCGCCTGCTTTGCAAGTGGAAGGTCCAGAGTTCAATTCCCGGTACCAAAAAATAAATAAATAAATAAAAAGGGCCAGGGATGTAGCTCAGGGCAAATGCTTTGGGTTTAGTCACCAGTATTGGGGGGAGGGGGGGATTACTGAGCTATTTTTACCTAAATCTGACCTATTTTCAGCAAATTAAATGAGAAAAGAGATGGAAATATCTAAAATAGTTCATTAAAGCCATGAATAAGAAAAAAGATGTTTGGTAAGTAAGGTAAAATAACGCTATTATTTAAGTAGCACATGCTGAAAATAGGCAGCTCTCCTATTTTAGCAGTACCTATCTTGAAATACCTCACCAGCTCTACCAGTTTTGGCAGAACACATCCAAATCGCAGTGCTGCAGCAGGAACTTATTATAAAACTCAGTAAAGTTAACCATTAAATGTTAGCTAGGATCAGGTAACAGGACTCCTTATGTAACAAACAATTCTGGTATTCTCAAGTAATTTTATAAAACTGTAAAGTTTTTGTTTTTTACATAGTTTTGAATGTATATGGTGGCTCAGATCTTGGTCATTAAGGAAGTTCCCCTCCAATTGTAGAAACAGTTAAGAGTACTTATCTGAAACATTTGCAATTAATAAATTAAAAAATTCTAATACTAGTGATAAACCAAGAAAAACAACAGAAGAAAAAAAGGAAGAGTAAGAAGAGGAGGGGCAATAAAAACATAAGAAAATTTCAGTGAAATAGAATTTTTAGGTTGAAGAAACGAGGGGGTTCCAGAATAGTTTCATACAAAATGCTCAATACCAAGACAGCTGGGTTAATTAGCAGGTTTCAAGAATGCAAAACAAGCTGGGTG